CGCCGCGGGCACAGCCCCGCTCCGGGAAAGCCGCCGCCCTCGGCAGCGCCCCGGCGCCTGCCCAGCCGGGAGAATCCCCTGCCCCTTCCCGGGACGAAAATTCCTGCCTGCTCGCCCTCCCGCCCCTCGGCGTTCCTGCTCGCAGCACCGGCTCCCCCCCACCCAGGCGGCCGCAGCCCCTGCCCCGGCCCGCGGGCACTGCCTTTCCTTCCCTTCGTGGCCCCCTCCTCGCCCTGCTCCCACCGCTCCGGGGCTCAGGGGGCTCCTCAGCCACAGTCCCCCTTCGGGGACACCTACAGATCTTTCTACTTTATCGGGGACACCCACAGATCTTTCTGCTTTATCGGGGTTCTGGCTGCAGGAGGCTGCAGAACGAATATTCAACAGTTGTTCTTTGGGTGTGAAACAGTAGCTCTCCCAGTCTTCTGTGACCGGCTTTTTTCCTTTTCTTTAATTCATTACATCACCTCATTTTCAAAATTAAATCTGCTAAAAGCATCATGATCAAATACCTTCTAAAAAAATATCCTCAGCAGTTAGAAATTCTTTAAAGTTTGGCTGGGGCTGCTGAAGGAAAGTAGGTGTGAATTTCAGCATCAAGTATGACACCAGTGCACATTTGATCTCGTGAAGATGACAGCAACTGTCTATGCAGGGAAGGAGAGAGAAATAAAACCTAAGGAAAAACAAAAAACAATTGCGAAGCCATATGCTTTTCCATAGCCACATTTAGATCCAAAGTGTGATGAAATCACACGTCTTCCTCATTGGCTGCTTATATGTAGTCTCAAGATGAGGGAGTATCCGATGAGCTCAGCCAGTGCCTTCACTGGCTGTGTTGTGATAGTAGTGGCATTCTTGGTGTGGACATTTTATCAGAAGACYGAAGCAGCACACAGAACCAAAGCAGCGCTCCTCAGCCCATGATCTCACAGTCTGGTAGCTCTCAAGCTCTCTGGAGAGGCTTGCAGTGTATACTCCAAACACCTGGTCCGACCTTTCAGCGTGGTTGGAGACTAGCTCAGAAATGTGCTGTTGGCAGAAAATTATCAGACCCATATTACAGGAGGGTGGCATTCAAACCAATTGGAGCAAGGTGCTGTTAAAGCCATTTCAGTCTCCCTAGAGTCGGCATCTTTCATGGAGGCCATGCTATAGATACATTAAGGACAAAGAACACCGATGCTATTTACAGTATTGCTTTAAAACAATGCATATTCAGAGGCTGGCTTCTTATAGTGGAATAAGATGTACCATTATAACTATCAGCCACTAATTTCCATTCTTATGAAAATCTATTTTACTGGCAGTAAAACTTAGCTAACCCAGTGGTGGCCATTTAGCTTGGCATTAGAACAAGATGCTCCAATCCTAAAATTACCTTTGTTCACAATGTTGTTGTTAAGTAGGTTTGTTCAGATTTGATAATGTAAAACAAAAARTGGCACATTGACAGAGACATTTTGATGAAGAGCAGATGTTGCGGAGTAAGAAAATTCTCTACATATGATTTTTTTCATAGCAATGTAATACCTGAAGGGGTTGCCAGAGAGGCTAAACAAAAGTGAAGACAAAACTAATCAAATAGATTAATTCTAAGGAAAGAAGAGGTGATCACAAAAAATGACAGGGGAAAAAAAAGCAAATATCAGAACCAACAGATGAGTCAAAAATACTGGGTAGAAGAGAACTAAAGCAAAACCAGAAGGAAGACAGTGGAACTAAAGAAGTGAAGTGAGAAATGAATGCTAAAAAGTTACTCAGCCATATCTGAGTAATACAGCATGCCCTTGCCATTTGCAGTGTGTGGAGGTTTATRCCATTTTTCTTTCTCTTCCTTTTGTTTGTCAGCAAAAGTTCAGTAAGTGACATGGCTTTTGGAAAGGCTATAAAAAGAAGATAAAAATGTCAACACAGAAATGGAATGACTTCTTAGTGACAAAAAAAGAAAGAAAGATGTGACGGTAGAGMATAATAGAGCGCTTTAAGAAGGTCAATCTTTTCTACCTAATCTTGCACGAAATAAATGTATTACATGGCTCTTAAAAGGAAATACATTTAAAACGAATCAGAAGAATTTTTTTTCACACATATGTAATTAACTTGGAGAGCTGATTGTGAGTGGGTATTTCACAGACATGAGTTTTGTAATACATCACCTGTTTGCCTGTCTACCGACAGCTACTGGCACCCTGGCTAAAATAGAATTGCAAAGGCTATCGATCCCTGCGCTTCASAGAGCATTGGAATTGTTGGGAGTGCTGAGGGTGGGAGGAGATGCCAACAAAAGAGCAGAAGGRGTGGAGAACATTCTGTAACACAGCCTCCAACCAAAGCAGCGTTCAGCCTTCTGCTGAGCGAGAGAGGAGGACTGGAGCCAAAATCAAAGACTGAAACAGAAAGAAGAAAAAWTTAAAGCAAGAAAGGATAATTCGCTTCATAACAGCAGTAGTGTAGGTGGTTGGGAGAAAGAAAAAAAGAGAAGCTGAAACCAGGAAGAATTAATTTGTGATTAAGACAGTGAACTGGAGCTTATAGGATTGATATTGAAGCACAGCTCTGCTATGCACTTCTTGAACAACCTTGAGCAAGTGACCTCAAGTGGGCTGAACAGAGGCATCTGGTTGCCTAAACACAGGTAGCTCTTCTCACACCCACATGTGTCCAACAGCCTCTAGAGGACTGTGGCTATCACATCTGCCATCTCTTTCAGGAACAGTGGGACATTCAAACTGGCACCAGACTCCCAGATGTGAGAACATCTCCTTACTTTTTCTTATTCTCTACATAAAACTGAAATGATGCTTTTCGCTTTCTCTGTTCTTATTCCTATCTCTTCCATTATAATATGCGACATTTTACTGGCAGATTCAGGCCATATTTGTACAGTCTTGATCTTGGCAGAAGTATCTAGGCATTCTAACAAGACAAATAATAAGGAACAGTGATATGGATAAAAATAACACTGAAGCAATAAGACTGTGGGACAGTGAAATGAATTGCATTTTCAGCAGGCAATGGAAAAGGGCAGAAGTATAATCCCTGAGGGAATAGAAGTTGTTGCTCCTCTATTTTCCTCTGTTCTACTCCAGGTACATTCTTTTCTCCACAACACCAGCTCMGCACTGTGCAGTATTTTCCTCCAAATAAAATTATGGAAACTCATAGCAATTCTTTTACTTGAGGAGAATCAGCTGTAGGTAGAACATCCAGCAAGTAAAAAAACTAAAGAAGTTGTTTGWACAAACAGAAGAGAAATGTTCAGGAAATATACAACAGATTTTTTGCTTGGCTAGGTTTTTGTGGTTTTTTTTTTAAATTTTATATCAAGATAAACACTTCATGCAAACCTCTGTGTACAGAAGAGGTTGCACAGGAATAAGGTGTGCAGGTAACAAACTACTCAGGGGATTGTAGGAATAGAAGCACTGTGGCACTTCATGTTGTAAAGCCAACCATTACACTTCTTTTTCTCAAAAAAAAAAAGGATCYGTTGGCCTGTACCGTAAATAGGGGAACAAAATAGCTCAATGATGAGTTTYATCCTTTTTGCTGCTTCCTGTACCTCTGAGGAAAACAAGATGATATAGTTCTAAAATATTAATAAGGGAGTAAAGGGAGTAATTKTCAGTGTATTACAATCCAAACAAAATACTAATGAGATAGTAGAAAGGTAAATCTACTCAAATAATAATACAGGCACATCATTCTATTTACCACATATGTGATATGAATACCACATATGTGCCCCTTTCACAATAAAACTCAGGTTGGTGGAGATCACCTATAAACAAAAATAAGCCATTTTCTGTAAGCAGATGTTTAATTTTAAATATGTTTTGCATGTTTAATGCAACATAAAACACACTGCTGAGTAATAAGGCCGTATGTCATATTTCCATGTGCAACTTTATTACACTAAAAGATCCCTGCAGATGGTTAGTAGCCATGCTATTGACAGTGGACTATTTGCTGGTTCACCAAGCACGCCTGATTTTTGTTCCGAGCACACACACTCATCCTGCGGTGGAAGCTTTTACAATTAAGTCAACCAATTCAAATCTCATGCAGCCAGAGACTGCTTGTCCAATGAAAATCTTTATTTTCACACTGTTCTCTTGCAGTTTTGGAAACGCATACCTAGTTTTCCATTCACCCTAGTACTGCTCAACACTGATACTTTTCTGCATAGGCAGAAGTGTCCCGTTTCAGCAGAAGGCTAAGATATTTCTCAGACTTCCACAGAGATTTCCCATACATGTTGGGGGTCTGAGTGCATTCCCTCATCACAGGGAAACATG